CACCTGCCCTGTTTTTCTCCGGTACCGGGAACCGAACTCACGACCTTGCGGTTGCCAGGCAGGCGCTTTTGCCGCTGAGCTAAATCCCCAGCCCCCTGCCCTGTTTTTAATTTTTGCTTTGAGACTGGCTTTCATTAAGTTGCTCAGACTGGCCTCGAATTACAATCCTCCTGCTTCCGTTGCCCAAATAGCTGAGGTTACAGGTGTGCATCACCATGCCCAGGTGGCTACTTCACTTAAAGAGAGTCCTTAGCTGGGTGTGGTGTTGCACACATGTACTCCTAGAACAGGGCAGGCTGAGGCAGGAGGACTGCAGGTTTGAGGCCAGCCTGGTTTATACAGCAAGACTGGCTCAAAAAGGAAGAAAAAAAAGCAGAGAGAGAGCTTGCTTTACCTTTTGATACACATATTCATATTACAGTCTTTACCTTTTTGATATACATATTAAAGTATTTAGTAATAAAATAATATATGTGGAATTAAAAAATAATAGGATATTGAGTGTAGCTGAAACAAGATTGGCCATAAATTGATAATTATTGAATCTCATTAACTAATTTCTCCATTTTTGACTTTTGTTTGTTTGTTTGTTTGAGACAGGGTGTTGCTATGCAGTTCAGGCTGGCCTTGACTTACTTTGTAGCCCAGGTTGGCTTTGAATTCACAGTGATCTTCCTGCCTCTGCCTCCTGAGTGCTGGGATTACAGGCATGTAACATCATGCCCAGTGCGTTTCTGGCTTTGTTAAAAATAGCTTTATTATTACAGCCTTCCTTTTTCAAGGCTGAACAATCTGCCACTGTATGTCCATAGCACATTTCCTTCCATTGTCTTCTTCCATTCATCTCTCAGTGAACTGAGTTGTTCCTGTATCTTGGCAGATGTGAATAATTCTGAAAAGTATGCAAAGTACACAAGGGCACACATACTGCTTCCAGTACTGGCTTCTTTTGTTAGATATGCCAGGAATAGATATGCTGGACCATTCTTACAGTAGTTTTTTCCTTCTTTCTTTCTTTTTTTGTGGGGGGGGTTGTTTTGAGATAGGGTCTCAATTTGTAATTCAGGCTGGCCTTGAACTCACTATGTAGCATAGATTGGCCTTGAACTTTTTAGTTTGACATAATCCCATTTTTTTTTCTTTGTTTTGCTTTTGCTGATGTTTTTAGCATCACATTAAAAAATAATTGCCAAGCCCAATGTCAATATCTATATTTTCTTCTAGGAGTTTTACAGTTCGTGTCTTACATTTGCTATGGTTTGTGTCTGGATGTCCCCTCAAAGCCTCATGCAGTCATGGGTGTGGGCTTCTAGAGTTTATGATTGATTC